TTCAACAATATTTGAATCCAAACTTAAATATTGCAGTTTATTGATAAGCCTTCTATGTGCAACAGTGTCAAAAGCCTTACTGAAATCTAGGTAAGCAATGTCTACTGCACCACCCTGATCTATAATTTTAGTTACCCAAAGCAGATAAAGGAGCAGATAAAAGATCCAGAGTTCATTTCAAGTGTGCTATTTGCATTTGGAATCTGTTGCTGTCAATTCTCAATATGAGATCGAAAGAGCTGTCACTATCAGTGAAGCAAGCCATCATTAGGCTGAAAAAAACAAAACAAACCCATCAGAGAGATAGCAAAAACATTAGGTGTGGCCAAATCAACTGTTTGGAACATCCTTAAAAAGAAAGAACGCACCGGTGAGCTCAGCAACACCAAAAGACCCGGAAGACCACGGAAAACAACTGTGGTGGATGACCGAAGAATTCTTTCCCTGGTGAAGAAAACACCCTTCACAACAGTTGGCCAGATCAAGAACACTCTCCAGGAGGTAGGTAGTATGTGTGTCAAAGTCAACAATCAAGAGACGACTTCACCAGAGTGAATACAGAGGGTTCACCACAAGATGTAAAACATTGGTGAGCCTCAAAAACAGGAAGGCCAGATTAGAGTTTGCCAAACAACATCTAAAAAAGCCTTCACAGTTCTGGAACAACATCCTATGGACAGATGAGACCAAGATCACCTTGTACCAGAGTGATGGGAAGAGAAGAGTATGGAGAAGGAAAGGAACTGCTCATGATCCAAAGCATACCACCTCAGTGAAGCATGGTGGTGGTAGTGTCATGGCGTGGGCATATATGGCTGCCAATTAAACTGGTTCTCTTGTATTTACTGATGATGTGACTGCTGACAAAAGCAGCAGGATGAATTCTGAAGTGTTTCGGGCAATATTATCTGCTCATATTCAGCCAAATGCTTCAGAACTCATTGGACGGCGCTTCACAGTGCAGATGGACAATGACCCGAAGCGTACTGCAAAAGCCACCAAAAGAGTTTTTTAAGGGAAAAAAGTGGAATGTTATGCAATGACCAAGTCAATCACCTGACCTGAATTCGATTGAGCATGCACTTCACTTGATGAAGACAAAACTGAAGGGAAAATGCCCCAAGAACAAGCAAGAACTGAAGACCGTTGCAGTAGAGGCCTGGTAGAGCATCACCAGGGATGAAACCCAGCGTCTGGTGATGTCTATGCGTTCCAGACTGCAGGCTGTAATTGACTGCAAAGGATTTGCAACCACATATTAAAAAGTGAAATTCTGATTTATGACTGTTAATCTGTCCCATTACTTTTGGTCCCTTAAAAAGTGGGAGGCACATATACAAACTGTTGTAATTCCTACACCGTTCACCTGATTTGGATGTAAATACCCTCAAATTAAAGCTGAAAGTCTGCAGTTAAAGCACATCTTGTTTGTTTCATTTCAAACCCATTTTGTTGATGTATAGAGCCAAAAAGATTAGCATTGTGTCGATGTCCCAATATTTATGGACCTGACTGTATTCTAAACTCCCTACTGGGATTGTCTCTAAAACAAGTCGTTAAGGAGCCACCTCATAAAGAGGCCATACTAGATTTAGTTTTAACAAATGGAGATTTGGTATCAGATATTACTGTAGGTGAAAGTTTAGGACTCAGTGATCATCAGTCAGTGTGGTTTAATATAAGAACAGTGACTGAGTCACACCACACAAAAACAGACTTAAGAAAAACAGACTTTTCTAAAATTAGAATATGGGTAAAGGAGTCACTATTAGACTGGAGCAATTTAAATGGAATCCAAGAGAAATGGGATTATTTAAAAGTTGCACTGCTAAAGGCAACATAAATTTGCATTAGGCTTGTCAGTAAGAGCAAAAACATAAAGAAACCACTGTGGTACTCCGTAGATGTGGCCAAAATAGTAAAAAGACAAAAAGTTAGCATTTAGTAATTATAAAAAAAAAAAAACAGAGCGAGGAAGACAGAATGATCTATAAGATTAGGCAGAAAGAGGCTAAGCAAGTTATAAGAGCTCCTAAAGCACACACAGAAGAGAAAATAGCACAGTCAGTAAAAAAGGGGGATAAAACATTTTTTAGATACATAAATGAGAAAAGGAAAGTAAAACAAGGATTAGTTACATTAAAAACAAAAGAAGGAAGGTATGTAGAAGAGGATAAAGGTCTAGCTGACTGCCTCAATTAATATTTTTGTTGTGTATTTACAGATGAAAAAAAAGGAAAGGGACCTCAGTTGAGAAAAAGGATAAATGAGTCATTTATTACACGTGAGTTTACAGAGGAAGAGGTTCTATTTCAACTGCCAAAAGTAAAGACAAATAAGTCGATAAGGCCTAATGGGATTCACCCAAAGTTATTAAAAGAGCTTAATGGTGTACTAGCAATACCATTCACAGATTTATTTAACCATTCATTGTTAACAGGAGTAGTCCCTGATGATTGGAATTTGGCGAATGTTGTGCCCGTTCACAAGAAATGTAGTAAGGAGGAGTCGGGCAACTATAAGCCAGTAAGCCTTACTTCAGTAGTGAGTAAAGTAATATAAACTATGTTAAAGGATAGGACTGTTGAACATCTAAAATCGCATGGATTTCAAGATCAGAGACAACATGGGTTTACTTCAGGGAGATCATGCCAAACTAATCTTATTGATTTTTTTTGATTGTTAACTAAAATTATAGATCAGGGTGGTGCAGTAGACATTGCTTACCTAGATTTCAGTAAGGCTTTTGACACTGTTGCACATAGAAGGCTCATCAATAAACTATCTTTAAGTTTGGATTCCAATATTGTTGAATGGGTAAGGCAGTGGCTGAGTGACAGGCAACAGAGGGTTGTAGTTAATGGAATATATTCGAAGCTTGGATTTGTCAGCAGTGGGGTACCTCAGGGATCTGTACTTGGACCTATTCTCTTTAATATTTTTATTAGTGATATTGCAGAAGGTCTTGATGGTAAGGTATGTCTTTTTGCTGATGATATTAAGATATGCGATGTGGAATCAATCAATCAATTGATTAGCTTGTGTATCTGCCCCGGCCAAATTAAAGAAACAGTGCGTGCACGCTCCTGAAGTAATTCACACCAGACACAGGTTTCGGGTTAATGAAAAACTTGAGGAATGTTTATTAAGAGGGGCTGGCATACCCCTTATAAAGCAAAATTACATCATATGCATTGTCAGAGATAACATGGAATAAAACATCAATAATTGGTTAGGTGTTAAGTGGTTCATTTAGTGCTCTTCCTACCCGGGTGTGATGTCACTGGTATCTTGGAGGTCTCCCCCAGATTCCAGCGCCATCTTGTTAATGAGGGTGTTAGTCGATGTCAAAGGGAAACTCCCTAGCGGTCATCTTAGATAAATCACATATAAAATAGAATAATACTGATAGTAGGTATGCTGAGTAAATAGGCATTTTACTAACATAAATTGGGTTAATATTTTTGTCCACAACAGTCCCCTCTTAAAAGGACTATTTACTAAAAGAAAACTAGTAACTGACCCTAATGGTATCCCTAAATGGCTGCAGCTCATCTGTCTGAACAGGCCTCGAACACTTCACTGCACGGTATCCCGTAGCAGCTAACCCACTACATCTCCCGCGTCAGACTCCTGCCCGTGGAGACAGACGCTGTCCCTACGCTATCCCTACAGAGAAGCAGTTGTCTGGTTGAGATGATGGGACTGAAGAGGTGTGTGTGGGGTATCACAGTCCATGTTGTCGATATCTTGATGTAGGAATGTAGGTGTGGTGTGGTCAATGGTCTGACCTACAGTCTTCTGTAAGTATTTCTGCACACAGGGCATCACACAGCAAGTCAGGAAGAGAAAGAGAATTACCACAGTAAGAACTGCCATACCTACTTGGAAGAGGGTTCTCTGCCATCCACTCATCCATCCAAACCATCTGTCCCATGAATTAGGGACTCCTGAATTCCTTTTTAATTCATCAGAGAGACTTTCTAATTTCTCTATGGCCATGGTTACTTTAACATTGGGGCCTGTATTGTCTGGGATAAAGGTACAGCATGTCATAGTATCAGGGAGTATTTTACACACGCCCCCTTTTTCTGCTAATATCATATCAAGGCCATTCGGTTCTGAAATGTCATTTGGGAGGTAGTCTGTAACTGTTCTGCCACGCCCTGGAGGGCATCTCTAGTATAATTGACAAAGCATTGCTGATTATAGTAAATATAATTCATCCAGTTAATATTCTTGTTAGCGGTGATGAGTGGGATCAAGGATTCGAATCCTGCCGCCACCTCTTCTCTGGCCTTGAACTCATTTGGTACCCCCCTTGGTACTCCAATGGCATCAATATATACGTGTGGGTCAAAACAACCCCGAACAGGGGTTTCTCATTTTATCCTAAAATACGTGTGTGGTGAATCAAGTGGTGGTTATCAGAAATGATATGTATGGGCATAATAGCTTTTGTCAGAGTGCCACAGGCCAGTCATTTTGGATCTTAGCTGCATGTCACCACATAGCCAATAAATGTCTCCCATGGACTTATCTTGATTTACTAATAGGTGTGGGGATATCCTGACATAGGGCAGTGGGAGGTTCTCGATAGGTGGTGCAGTAGCCAGAAGGGAACTTACCCACAAATTTACCTGTAGTTCCGTGTATTGTATAGCAAGTGTAGTTACCTGGGTGCACGGTGATTCCATCAAGTGGCTTGATATTCCCTTGTGTTATTGGGTATACCTTTTCCATGATTCACACACTGATGAGTTTGTGGCTGACTGCGCATAGAGGCTTCGGAAACAGGATTCAACATCTGAAGGTAGATTAAATGGCACTGTACCCAGGTGGGGTCTGGCCCCACCACAAACATAACAGTTAGTTTTATTGTGTGAATTAGCATTATACCTCATCCATTTAAGCCATAGATTAGTATATGAAAACCCGGTTGTAACGGCTACCCTGCTGTAGGGGGGTACCTGCTGTTGGAAACGTCCTTTTCTAGGCAAGCTGCTGTGAAGTAATGGAGATCTTATTCCCATCCACGATATCCAAGGGTATAATCCGGCAGTGCTGTAAAATGAGGCAGAGTAACGGTACCATTACGTACTCCCCAGCGTCCCCTGGGCTGGGATTTTCTATGTTTAAGGCGAGTTTCATTGGGGTAGACCCTGTTGGCTTGCATAAGGTCATTCTGTATAATAAGGGTTTCCCATATCTGTCAATCCTATCTAAGGCACTTTGTGGTCTGTAGCCCCATGGTCGGCCGGTGTTCCAACCCGCTGCTTTCCAGGTGCTACAGTGGTGTCCCCAATGCCCTGTCACACAAATGTAGGGGTCCTTCTTGACTGATATGTCTTTGTATATTGCTGAGTGTAGTGATTGTGGGAAAGTACAAGAGACAATATCACAGTAATAAAAGGTGAAAGTAGCTACATGTGTGTTCGAAGAATTATACCAGAATGTGTAAACATGATTGTCTTTGGTTATAGCAACTTGTTGGGCCTTTAACAGGCCTGGCAGCAAAAATTGGCACAGGAAGCTCATGGTTTGGTGGACTCTGCTTCCTCTGGATCAGGAACTTTCTTGCAATGTGAGGCGTGTATCCAGGTTTTCTTGCCTGCCAACTTTACACAGGTAGACGTGGTCAATAGAACTTGGAATGGACCAAACCTTGGCTCAAGAGTATGTTTTTTTATGAACTTCATGACAATGGCCCAGTCACCATGAAGTAGCTTATGGGTGCCTGTATTTGACTCTGGATCTGGAATAGAAGAAAACACCTGTGCATGGATTTTGGTCAAGGCGTGAGAGAGAGCAGTTATATAGTCTGTCAGGATATTTATATCGGCAGACATTTTGTGCTAAGATAGAAATTAAAAGTGTATATTGCCAGAGTCACTCAGAACAGAGCAGACTCCATTTTGGATTTCAGGCAAGACAGACACAAAATTTATTTCCTTTCTGTAACTAGCCACTAGCCTGAGCTAAGGAATGCATTATGTAAACAAGCCAAGTGATAAGCAATGAAGCAGGGGGGTGGAATGCTCTGTTTAGATGTTAATAGAATAGAAATCATTTTAAACACAGACACTAGTGACAGAGAAGACTAAGTAATTAATTTTACTCTCTAAATTTTACAAGGTCCCATTGTAAGTAAGGGGTGAAATTGAGTTTAGAACTGTCAATTTTAGAAATTACGATCAAAGTAGTTGCCAAAAGACTGAGGCAAACGCTTTAAACTGACAGCAAATTTAAAGCGGCACTGTCATGCCGAATCCTGTTTTTTTTTTAACCCCCCTCCGGCCTCCACTACATCTAACTGACCCCCTAGCCACCCCCAAATGCCCCTAAGCCCCCCACATTACCTATTTTTTTATCTTTATTTTCTGCCCCGATCTATATCCAGGGCGCCGCCATCTTTGTGTGAGTAGATGAAGTCCCTGTGGGACACGTCATCAGCCCACACTAGATGGCGCTGTGAGATTCCCGCACATGCCCAGTGAAACACCTGGACATGGGAACGGGAATTTCATCTATTCATTCATTCATCAGACAGACGAATGAGTGAATAGAAATATCAGCCGAACAAACTAACACTGTGTATCAGTGTATCTGTGTATCAGTGTATGTTTGTTCGTGCAGGTTATTACAAGGAGGGAGCTACCGGCACGCAGCTCCCTCCTTGTAATATGTAAAGATAGAAGTGGCATGGAGCAGTGCTCCCCACCACTTCATAAGCCACCCCCCCAGGTCAACCCTCACTCTATGGGGGTCAATATGACCCCCATAATAGCACAAGGGAGATTAAAATCTCCCCCATGCCCCTACTCGCAAGACCGCGTAGGGGCATGTCCACTAAACAGTGAGCAGCCTGTGGCCGGAGGCTGGGGGCAATAATGATGGGGGGGGACCACTGCCCTCACCTTCTACGGCAGAATATGAGATGAGGTGATACTCCTCATCATGGGCGGTAGCCCCAAGTCACTACCCCTCACCAGTGACTAGGTGCTCAAGCTTGTCACTTCCACCCTCACTAAAGCTACCCCAAAAATAGTGAGAGGGAATAAAATAGTTCAACCTGTGTGCCGGGTAATAATATTCACGCCTTTTCAGCCCGCCTCTGTGCGGCCAAAAACCAATACACCGTCGTAATTGCGCCAATATAAAAATCCTCGGGACAAACCTGGTCTTAAAGAAAATTGAAGGGCAATCCATTCACCTGTTCTTTCCTCACGCAGACTGCCAAGGGGAAGGTTTATAAAGCCTGCCCTCGCCTACAGAACACTCGGATTGGCGGGTTTTACATCAGAATTTGTAAACATTTATACAGCCAGGGAAAATTCAAAAGAACTCTCCCACACCGTAAAATGACTCTGCAGGGCGGGGGAAGGCTTATAAAGCCTTGCCCCGCCCTGCAATTAGGCTAAGAACACTCGGATTGGTGGGTTTAAGCCATCCAATCAGAGTGCTCTGTGTCATTTTACACAGCGTGGGAAAATTCAAAAGAACTTTCCCACACTGTGTAAAATGACACAGAGCACTGTGATTGGATGGCTTGAAATCCATCCAATCAGAGCGCTCTTTGTCATTTTACACAGCGTGGGAAAGTTCTTTTGAATTTTCCCACGCTGTGTTAAATTACACAGAGCACTGTGATTGGATGGCTTGAAATCCATCCAATCAGAGCGCTCTTTGTCATTTTACACAGCGTGGGAAAGTTCTTTTGAATTTTCCTACGCTGTGTAAAATGACACAGAGCACTGTGATTGGATGGCTTGAAACCCACCAATCAGAGTGTTCTTAGCCTAATTGCAGGGCGGGGCAAGGCTTTATAAGCCTTCCCCCGCCCTGCGGAGCTCAGTCTGCGCGGAGCCCTCCATATGTGAAGATGGATTATTTATTTGCGCTCTGGTTTTTTCTTTTTCGTCGGTTTTTTTTTTTGCGCTCTGGGTTTTTATTTTATTTTCAATTCGACGGTTATGAGGGTTTTTTATTTGGCCTTTTTTGGGGCTGAAAAATGAAGATTTGAGAAAAAAGAAGACGTCGAATGGTAAGTTTAATTTTATTTTACAGTTTAGTTATTTTATTCCCCCCTCACTATTTTTTAGGGTGAGGGGGGTAGGTAGGGACTTTTTTTGGGTGGGGGGTGGGTGACTAGGGGCTTGGCGACCCCTAGTCACCTTGGTGGGGGGGGAATTGACTTAGGGCCCCCACCCGCCACCCAGGGGTGGGGGCCGGGGGGGGAGGACAGTAGTTCCCCTCATTATCTTCATGGCCCCCACCCGCTGCCAGGGGTGTGGGCCGGGGGGGGCAGTAGGTCCCCCCTCATTCTCATTATGGCCCCCACCCGCCGCCCAGGGGTGGGGGCCGAGGGGGGCAGTTGGTCCCCCCCTCCATTATTGCCCCCACCCGCCGCCCAGGGGTGGGGGCCGGGGGGGGCAGTAGGTTCCCCCCCTTCATTCTCACTATGGCCCCCACCCGCCGCCCAGGGGTGGAGGCCGGGGGGGGGCAGTAGGTCCCCCCTCTCGTAATCATTATGGCCCCCACCCGCCGCGCAGGGGTGGGGGCCGGGGGGGCAGTAGGTCCCCCCCCTCGTAACCATTATGGCCCCCACCCGCCGCGCAGGGGTGGGGGCCGGGGGACGACGACATTAGGTCTCCCCCCTTATTTTACTTTAGGGCCCCCACCCGTCGTTTAGGGGTGGTGGCAAATAGTTTTTGGGATTTTTTTACAGTGAACAGCCACAGGCTGCTCACTGTTTACCAGACATGCCCCTACTCGAGGTATAGCGAGTAGAGCATATTATTTACTAATACTAAGTAATCTTTACTTAGTATTAGTAAAGTTGTCTGAAACACCAATTTAGGTCTTTCAGCCTTTTAGTAGATAGCTCCCTGATACCGTGGTAATTAGGGAGTTATCTACTAAGCGGCTGCAAGATGCAGCCACAGCAATCAATAGGATCGGAGTTTCATTTATTAGAATGAAATTCCGATCTGAATAAAGTGCCGAATTGCGTTCTAAAACAAACGAACATACTGTTCTCATTCCGTTAGAACGCAATTAGGCAGTTTTGTGTAAAGTGACAGGAAGCATTGTGGGAACTCAAAGGGAAGGTAAGGATCATGGGAAAATTGCTCTGACCAGCGGAAATGAAGCACACTTTGCTCCTCCGCTGGTCAGAGCTGGTCAAGCGGAGGAATCCTCCATAAGGCAAAGAGTCCCTACTTTGTCTTATGATTTTAAAGAAAACTAAAGAAGATAGGAAGAAAAAAAGAACAGATCCTGAGAGAGGGGGAGAAGAGGAAGAGATTGAGGAAAGGTAAGTTCGGCATGCCAGTGCCGCTTTAAGTTATAGTAGTCATTTTAGAAAAGCCAAATGACGTAAAAATCGTCATCAGGAAAAGTTAACTCTTTCCTGGATAGGAAGGTTTAGTGAGGCGAGACTGCCCTCTATGGATCAAATATCTAAATTGCGATCTACAGGTTGACCACACCTTCAGTTTCCTATTGGCCTTATCAACTAATGACGTACAGAGAGTCTGGCCCTTTAAAAGTTAGGACAAAGGGAAGAGACAAAGGTTAGTTTGGGCAATCAGATTCGGACATGCAGAGAGATCCAGGACACTCTGGCACTAACTCTCAAACTCTCTTGGACACAACTCAAGAAACACTCCTTGACACTTAGAATGTTACTGATACTTTCTAACCAACATCACTTTTCTCTATTACTTACACACCTCCATACAACCAATTATACTCGCATTCAAGTTCCTGGGACTACCTACTCATCTGATGAGAACATCTACTTCATAACTGGTAATTATGCTGGTTTTATTTGATTAATTTAAATTAATTAGAAATTTACTAATAGCATGATATATGACTGGATAAATCACAGTCAGATTTCAATAATTGAGAAATCTTGGTTAACTTAAAGAATATGTAGTTATAACACTCCATTCTGCAGGTGGAGTCAGATAATTACATAGTACTGGTATCTTACCACGTGTTAGCATACCGCTGTTTTTATCCATGTGTATTGATTTGCTCTAAAATAAGATCGGATATCTTAGGTAGAGTTAAATTTGGCTTTTGTAAAAATCTAGTAGATTATTCTTATTGGATGGTTCCAGGAAATGATTAATGAGCTGGTTTGAATGTTATTTTAATTGAAAATTACATGAGAATAGGATATTATATGCCTAGGA